ATGTTAATTTTTGCTCAAAAAAACTCAATTGTGGAAAGAAAAAAATTAAAATTAAACTGAGATTTTTTTTAAAAAATAATTATTGCAGTTATGGTCTGTGAAAGTATGAATAATAATTTTATGAACATAAAAAAACGCTACAAGCATTTGTTAATTACCAACGAGCCAATACACAATCATTAAATCATTGATGTATTTCAGTTTGACCGAAGAAAAAAAAAAGTAATAGAAAAACTTTTTTTATCTTCACAAAGAACCCTCATTTCACTTGTTTAGAGGTGATTTTCACAATGAATCCAGGATTACAACGAATGAAGGAAAAGGAAAACCATCCATCCCAATCAATACATATAAAAAACCAAATTCCTGGGTTCTGTAAGACAAGTACAATACCGCGAAAATCTTGACAGGTCACAGAAAAGAAAACACTTGCCACCCTTACCACACTACCGATCACTTTCCGAAAGCCACAGAATCAATCAAGAACTTGGAGTGGTAAAGTCTTGTAGTACACAATTCACTAGAAAAATGATCAAATCAACACGAGCAAGCAGATAATTTCTTCATCTCACTAATCTCCAGATCGGTCCCTGATATGCCATCAATCTTAGAACCTCTAAGCGTTATGGCATCAGCAGCATGGGGATTTCCAGTGGCACATTCCAATGACTTCTTACAAATCACACCGTAAATTTCTTCTAGCAGCCTGAAAAATGCACCGTCCACATTGTCACCACTAAGGGCTGATGTCTCAGAAAAAAAAAGGCCTTGATCCTCTGCAAATTCCACCGCGTCTTCTGTTGGAACTGCCCTGAGGTCCGCAAGATCAGCCTTGTTTCCAATCAGCATGATCACAATTGAGTTGTCAGCATGGGCTCGGAGCTCCTCCACCCACCTAGCCACGTGATCAAACGTTGGTCTCTTGGTAACGTCGTAGACTAACATAGCCCCCAATGCCCCTCTATAGTATGCGCTTGTCACTGCCCGGTACCTGCAGAATTTTGTTTTTTTTTTTTTTTTTTTTAATTTCTTTCAATAAATTGGATTTGATATATCAGAATTTTACTGCAACTACGGAATACGTATTGACAGTAGCATCGGCATTTCAGTGCTATTTACGAGCCAATATGGAATGGATCCAAATATTGCATTCAAGGCACACATTTCCACAATTATTATATATATTAATTCTAAGAACATTTCTTTGATCAGCATGTTTTTCTTAAGAAAAAGGATCATCTCGTTCGTAACAATTGAAAAACTCTGAACATCAATTAGGGTTTTCATCTTCTGATAAGCAGGCAAGTAGCTATACATTATAGTTTTAAAAACAATTACATGTATATTTATTCTAGTCGGGCCGAAAGGGTCAAGCAAAAAGGTACGTGTTTGATGTGGGTATGAGAAAAGAGCGAGAGAGAGAGGACCCCAACCTTTCTTGGCCAGCAGTATCCCAGATCTGAGCCTTGATGACCTTGTCTTTAATGATGACAGTCCTAGTCTGGAACTCGACACCGATGGTAGACTTTGAATCAAAGCAGAATTCATTCTTAGTAAACCTGGAAAGAACTTGCGTCTTGCCTACTGCAGAGTCACCGATCACCACCACCTTAAACACATAATCGATTTTCTCTTGCACAGTCTCTTGGTGGTTCTGATCAATCTCGGTATCAACACCATTCATCTCTTGGTTCATTTTTTATCACCCCTCAAACAAATTAACCTGGGGCAAGGAAAAAGAATGGGACTTTATCTTGACTTTGTTGCTCAGCTGCTATGTGAAATATAATATGAAACCCTTCAAACTTTGTTATTGGTCTTGGGACCTAGTCCTGGTGGTGAATGGAGTAAGTAAAGGAAAGAGAGGACCAGACAAGACCGATGTTCTCAAGGGTTCGTAATCCCTCACTAATGTAGTGAAAGGAGGAGTTGTGAACTATGGTCCAGTCTGTCTCTCTTTTAATTCTCTGTAGCTGGATGCGCACCATGCATTATTTATTCATATAACACGCCAGAGAAATTATTTGGCATTAGCCATTGTAGACTTATTAATTACTGCCTCTTTAAATCTCTCTCTCTCTCTCTCTCTCTCTCTTTAACAGTAACAGGAGACATCTGACACCACACCATGGTGATTTTTTCTGAGACAGTTTAGTCCACATGTTCAATACAATACAACACAAACTTAACTAGATGACATGCGATTTTTGGCCTCTAAAATCACTCAAAAACCA